GTACTACTGCAATGACCTGATTCCAAAGGTGAAGGGGTTAGCATCCAAGGTCTTCCATCCTTCAAGAGAATGGTCATATCAAATAGTGCTTCTTATGTATCAGAAATTACTTCAAGGCTACAGGGAAGCAAATACTAACAATAACTGACTTAAAAATTGTGGGGAGAGTCTATCTAGCAGAACCTCAGGTATCCTTCTCATGTAGTAAGGAGGTTCCCAAGATGGGAGGACAAGCTATTCCTAATTACTCAAGAAAAATTAGTAATAATTATTCAAGAAACTTAGAAATAATTACTACAGATAGAACAACATCTGAGATGTTGTTAGGCAGCATCTGAGAGTGTTTTGGGGAAATAAAGGAGGAAAAGGTTGGTCTAATATCTGAGTATTGTTTTCTTGGTCAAAGCTTAAGTGACAGCTTCAAAGAAAAGTTACAAGTCACAAAAGCAAAATAGAATCATTAATCGTCATATAGCTTAAAGATATAAACTCATGCTCCACATTTTATTATGGCATAATATATAAATACAATTTAAACTGGTTATATGTGTTTGAATCTAAGTTTAAATTTGAGTTAGAAATATATTAAACACATAATAGTGTCTTTGGAGTGTATAACTAGAATGATAGCAGATCTTTAAGACATGCCTTTTGTGCTCTGCCCCCAATAGAACACATTTTTTCAGAGTTACGGGATCATTTTGTATTTATTTTCTTCATTTTTTCTACTTCTCTAGTTTATTCAAAGTTACAGTTATAGCTGCTCAATATAAAAAAGCTTCTATGAAATGATATATGGTATAAACCCTACTGTAAGGACAGATATGAAAGCATTTCATTCTTTATTAAAAGCCATAAAGTAACCAGTAAGTCATCAGCAAATACTTTTGTTTAAAAGAGCTTAAAATCATATTTTATGAAAATGTCTCTCACACAGAAAAAATATTTGTAGTAATATCTTGCTTGTCCAGACTCCTACTGTACCTGGTATGCACTCTGACAAAGGTATAAAGGGTTGAGATATGGTTGTTACTTAGGCAGTGTTGAATGAATGGAATTTAATACACAAAAGGGCAAAAATTACAGAGTTAACATTAATCTTCTGGAACAATTTTACCTATGAATGAAACTAGCAAATAGATCACTCTAAATAACTATGTTAATGGCCTTAACGGGAAGATTTTCATTTTCTCTTTACTCATTTTCTCTTTCTCTTTACTTTTCATTTACTCTTACTTTGTTTCAATAAAGAATATGTCAAATATATTTAATATGACAATTCATAGCTTATCTCTTATAAAGCACAAGACAAGGCTGGGAGTAATGGTATATCCCCTGTAAGCCCGCATTTAGGAGGCTGAGCAGGATGACTTTGAGGTTAGCCTGGCCTACATAATGAGACTTTGTTGAAAAAAATAAAATAAGGCACAAGGCAAATCCATTTTATTTTTATTATTTAAAACTTTTATGACTTGCATTTAGAAGGAGTAGAACCAACGTTCTCTGAGAAGTTTAGAGCAAATTCATTCATGCCAATTGAAACTCTTCACTCTTGCCTTCTTCTAACCCTTTTACAGTTTCTCTTCTGAAGTTAGGAATAAGTCCTATAATGTTGAGAAGATTCTAACTTAGCTGATGACAAATAGCCAATGCCTGTTATGGAAAGGAACTTTTAATTACATTAAATTATAGAAGGTGATTACTTAAAGAAGGATGGAGAAATTAAAACTATTTTAAAGAAATAGTTTATTCAGACACATTCTTGGTCAATTCAAATTAATCACAGTTTTACTTCTTAAGAGTGAAATTTTCTTTAATTAGGTGTGCGGTTGGCAGGAAAGACCAAGGACTCTGAATCTGAAATGCAGTTAACTACACATTTTAGAAAGTACTTACATCAGATATGCATCCTTTTCTTTACCTACAAGGCATCCATTTTATTGTCTAGCTGCATTTACAGTGATTGATCTCAACATTGACTTATTGATTCCTAAGTCCTAGACCAGTTAAATAATTTTATTTTTCTTCCCATATATGGACAATAAGATGAATGCCAATAATAAGATTAATCAGTACAAATATTATCTCTTTATTATCCATAAACACAATGGAGGAAACACAAATTATGATCTAGATATTCTTTAGACTTTAAGGGCAGAAGAGAAAGAAAAAATTTTTTAACACTTTTTGAATTACCACTGATAGATGATTATATTCTTCTGCAATTCACAAGGGGGCAATTTTGGTTTATATGGCAGCAGAGTAAACAAATCAGTTTACGACAAAGAAAAGTTGAGCAATATGACTCATCCATTAACTGTTCTGTCATAGTTATTTGGGCAAGAAAAGACTTGGAATTTGGAAGATGTCTAGCTTAAGAAGTATCTTAAATGAGCAGATTTGACTACATCCTGTAATTAGGTATCATATTTAACAAAGCTCTCATAATACTCCAAGAACAACCACCCTCCTTTTCTCTAATTTAAAAATAAAGAATAACAAATGAGAATTAGGAGCAGAGTGTCTGTTCTGAAAATAGGCAAAGAAGTAGCTTACCAGCTGGTGATGCATATCACTCATATACCCTTGCTCTGTTCTATGATCAGGTAGCACCCAAGTCTAGTAAAAAAAATAACCACACTGAGTGGATACAAGGGACCATATGCACATGGGAGGCTCATTGCAGATATTCAATGATGGTAAGCAGTCAAGAAGGACGTTAGGAATAGAGAGGAGGGCTACAACAGCTCATACTGCTCCTGCAGATATGGTGGCTAGTCCAACTTAAACACAAACTGTCTTTCTAGAAATCTAAAATTTAATCTTATAAAAGATAACTACATTTTCAGACTGGTATAAAGACTTATTGAAAACTGATGTGATAGCTGCAAGATATCACAAGTTTAGTAATCAATACAAATAAATGCTGGCTACTATTTATCAGATACACACTATGTCATAGGCAGGTGCTACACCCACTTTACAGATGAGACCAGTGCTTACTTTAAATTGCTCCCCCAAGTCACAAAGTTTTCCAAGCCTTCATACAGGTTCAGACCTGCCTGTTTCTGTATCCACCCGACTCTTAATAACAGCTTGCTGCTAGAAGACCCATCATAACGATAAGGTTGCTTATTGAAAATGATGTGGATAACCTGAGAGATAGTCTAGATGCACTGTTACTACAATGTTTAGGCTACTCTAATTTTTCAGTGAAATCAGGACAGAATCTGTCAAAATGGAAGCTTTCCAGAGTTTCCAAATTTTGTGAATTTAGGAACTATATAAGTCAGTGACTACTATGATGCTGCCTTGACAGAAAACATATTCCAAGTTTTAACTAATCATGACATGCACATAAGTATTTCACTACAGTTTCCAAAAAAAAGGTATTTCTCTTAGACAACTATTTCCAGAAACCATAAACTGGAAAAAAGGGAATAATATAGCCTGTATTACTTATTGCTGATATAACAGCCTAAGTCAGGCACTTCTCAGTTGCTGTGTAGCTCACTTGCAGCCCTATGTATGTAGGTCAGTCCCCATAGAAAGACAACATTCACACATGCTCAGTGTTGGCAGCAACTCAAGCATTCACTTTCATCTGCCTTCCATCTTCCTCATTCTTTGTCTTGGTACCTTAGCAGTTCAGTCACTGACGTCAACATTCAGTTGTCCACTCTTGGACCCTTTTGGTTTGCTGAATGTTCCTTCTTAAAAAAAAAAAAAAAATTGGTGTTTTCAATTTATCACAGCACTTACACTGAGACTTATTTGGACAAGATCCTCTAGGCTTGAAAGGCTCCAAGGCTCCCTGCTCCAAGCACTGCCTTTTGAATGGACTGTTATCAAGTCTTTCTAGTACCTTCTGGAAGGACCTGTTCAGTTAGAGACTACCTATGGACTGAAACATGAAAAGAATATCTGAAAGACATCAATGATGTCAATAATTCAGGAACTGTGGCTACAGGAAGATTATGCACAATTTGGAAAGATTATTTTTTCCCAGAATTTGTAGAAAATGCATCAGTACTTCCTTAAGAACAAACTATACGCTCATGAAAAAAAAAATACTTTTTAAAAAAGGCTACAGAAAACTTGAAAAAATATGAACTTTCATATATTGTATAGGAATTACTTTCCTTTAAAAAGATTTTTTTAAAAAGTAAAAAATATTTTTGATTTATTTTTATTTTACATGTATGAGTGTTTTGCTTGCATGTATGTAAGTGTACCTGTGTTGTGCAATGCCTGTAGAGGCTAGAAGAGGACACTGAATCTCCTGGAACTGGAATGACACATGGTTGTTAGCCCTCATGTGGGTGCTGGAATTCAAACCCAGGTCTTCTGCAAGAGCAACCAGTGCTTTTAATCACTGAGCCATTTCTTCAGTGCCCATTTATTTAATTTTTGAGATTATAATAAGGCAGATAAACATTTGCATATAAAATAAAATATTTTCCTTTTTTTCTGACACTAAGGAAAATTCAAGCCAGTATCTATGGAGCCTTTTTAAACTGTTCATGACCTGACAGTCCTTACCACACTGCCACAACAACACTCACAGCCAATGACCCCACACTGATTTATTTGTAATGGAACTGGAGTTACAGATGGTTGTTAGCCACCATATGGATGCTGGGAACTGAACCCAGGTCCTCTGCAAGAGCAGTCAGAGCTCTTAACCACTGAGCCATCTCTCCAGCCCCTATTTTAAATATTTAAAATTATGTGTATGTGTGTATGTCTTTGTCTGATATGTGCACTTGAGTGCAGGTGCCCACACAATCTAGAGGTGTTAGTTCCCCTAGAGCTGGAGTTATAGGCAGTTGTGAGCTGCCAGTGCAGATTGTGGGAACAGAACTTGGGTCCTCTGCAATAGCAGTACAAGCTTTTAATCACAGAGTATTTCTGCAGCCCAAGGACCTATTTGCTATATAGGATATACCATTGCTCCAGTCAATAATTTAATTCTTTCACAGACAAAACCAAAAATTTACCTTTGGAAATCTGTAACCAACTTCACATCAGCTATGACAATCTTGTGCTCAATAATCATGTGCTTCAGAAGTTTGTCCAAAAAGAAAAACACAGTGCCAAAGAGAACCTTGTCACCATTTTAAACGTGCCTGCACCCCAAAGATAGGTCATCCTGCAAGGAAACTCAGTGCTCTGTTTATTTGCCTGAGTAGGGGCAAACCCCTGTCAAGGTAACTGTTCAAGCTTTCTTTGTGGATCCTGGCTAGTGGTAGCACGTCGGGGGTCCTACTGAGAGGGAAAAACTCCAATACGGTGGGTTAAGGGTCTAAGAGACCTTGTGACTTAAATTCTCACAGATGATGTCAGGCTAGTTTTTTACGCTGCTTTCTTACACACCTGAATACTTTCTTATTTCTGATTTTATGTCTTGCACAGAGAAGATAATTCTTACATTGGTTTGACACAGCATGTACTAGGTAGCCTAGGTAGCAATTTCTTTGATTATGTCTGTCATTGGTTCATTATACAACCATGTAAGGCTTTTGACAGCCAAGCGATAGATGCTCAATTAGGAAATATATAGTGTTTTGCTCACATGAACTACTCTCTCCTAACATCATTCACAGTATCTTTAAGACCTTTAATGTCCCTATGTCTCTGATTGCAGGTAGTTGTATCAAGACCTTTCTGTAGTCTGCGGAGGTGAAACCCTGAACCTGCTATCTTATTCTGATTATCGAGTAGGTAGTAACTGGAAAAGAAACCAGAATCCAGCTGCTGGCATTTGCAGAAGGTTGTTGAACCTTCTTCAGAAAGAGCTAACTGCTAGCCTGGTGATACAGGCCTGTAATGCGAGCTACCTGGGAGACTGAGGAAGGAGGATTTCAAATTCAAGTCTTGCCTGGGCTACAGAGTGAGTTCAAGGCCAGCCTGGGCAACTTAGTGAGATCTTGCCTCAAAACTAAAAGTAAAAAGAGGGCTGGGGATACAGTTAGTGGTAGACCACACACTTAACATGTGTGGGGGTTCAACCCCCAATACTTAAAAAAAAGGTTCTACAGATGAAAGTTCTAGAATTAAGTTGGTGTTGTTTTCCTGTTACATTTTATTTCTTATTTTCAATTTACCTTATCATTTAAAGCATTCTTAATTGAGTAATTAATTCAATCAATCACTGGTATACTGGTGAGCATGATCCAAGAATAAGATAAGTGACGTAAGATGGAAGGGAGCATTCATTTACCGCTTAACAAAAACCAACTACCTGCAGGTCTTTTCTGTTTAGTGTGGCATGGTGTGATTCTTATTATCATGGGTAAAGTATTCACAATTTGTCAGAAGGCTCAAGTAAGTTAGCAGGATCAAGAGAAAATGATAGAGGATGTTCAGGGTAACCTAGGAACAGAAGGATGGGCCACAGAACAGATGGAGAGGGAAGTGTCCCATAGAAGATCTTCTGATATAATAAAATTCTGCTAAATCAAACTGCTTATCTTTATTCACAAAATTTTATATTAGTACTAAAGAGGTGTTGAGTAAAATGACAACAGGGAGAATAGCTAGAATATATAAGCACTTTGGAAGTACTATGAATGAAATTATAGTTAGCAATCTTCTGTTACATTATGTCAACAAATGGCAGCATATCCAATGGGCAGCAGTTAATGCAGAGACCCATAACTAGCAGAAGGCTAAGAATAAGTGAGTATCTGGTGCTCAGCCTTAAATGAGACATCTGTATCATCCCACCTAAGGTTCAAGGAACATTGTGGAAGAGTGGGGCAAAAAGAATGCAAGAGGCTGAGGATGGGAAGGAGTTCTGAGAAATGTTATTTTTGGACATGACATGGCCATTGCACTCATGAGCTCACTGCAGCTGTGGTTACCTGCTTAAAACTGTCAGTCAAAATTCCAGCACAGATGAAGAGGGGCTCCATGAGACCTCACCTCTAGCTGAAGAGAGACTGGTATTTGCTGGCTGCTGGGGGAGGATGAGTCATTTTTCTTTAAGGGTGTGGCCTTTGGTAAGTTGCCCATGCTCTGGTGGATGGCTCATTTATGAGGGCAGCATTAACTGGACTTAGTGGGTCGTTAGAAAAAAAAGAACAGGACATGAAGGTTGGAGGGTTGTTCGAGAGTGGTTCTGGGGAGAGTGGGAAGGGAGCTGGGGTAGATATGATTAAAATACATTGCATATATACATGAAATTGTCAAAGAAAATTATTCCTACTTTAAAAAGGCAGAATATACTAAATAAAGGTAACATTAGTAAATATTACCTGGCAAATAGAAAATTAGCCCTATGTTCATTCTTCTCCCCAAATTTGACTGAGACATTTGTAAACTCATTTCATCTGACCATAGAAAACAGGTTAACTGTAATCACCACTGGCAGGCAGGAATGCTGAGATACTTGTAAACTACCAGCAAACTGCTCTAGGGCATTTTCTCAATCCTAACATTTTTACTTGGTAATGTTACTATAATTTCAACTTCCAGATGAGAGAACCGAGACCTGAAAAGGGGAATATTTTATTTTTATTTTTTTATTATTATTTGGTCTTTTTGTGCTAGGGTCTCCCTGTAGCCCCAGCTGGCCCGGAACTCACTATGTAGAACAGGCTGACTTTGAACTCAGAGATGAGCCTGCCTCTGCCTCCCAAGTGCTGGGATTAAAGGCATACACCATGTCTGGTCTGGGAAATACTTTATAAACATAGTTCACTCTCAACTCAAATACTACATTATTCTGCTCCCAGTACCCAAAGACATTTTCCAACTTGAATTCTTCTTTAAAGATTTATATGTATTTTAAAAGCCACTTTGAATTTCTGTGCATCTTATCAATGCCCTGATACTACCTCCACTAGCAACTTTTGCACAGTGCTCAGTAGCCCACATTTTCTTCCATTATTGATCTTACTGCAAACTCTACTAATTCTCTGTGGTACATTTTTCTTCCCCTTTATATGTATGTCTAATGTCCAGTTTTTCTTTTTTTTTTTCAGGTTATTCCTGAGAGAATGGACTGAAATATTCATATATGAAGAAAATTGCTTTTCACTGCAAAGGTGTGAGAGCAAAATCATGGATGTGCAAATTTTATGTCTGAGGAGCCTGTAGTTTGGGAAATATTACATTTGGAAGTGGAGTTACTATGTATTTCAGAAAAATAGATTTAATAGATGAGTTTTTTATTTTCCTCTCCTTGATTCTGTAGTCACCTGGCACTTTGATAAAATAATAACATTGTTCATATGAAATCATTTACCTACTTGGCCCTGCCCCCCCCTTCCTCTTCACATTGTTGATCCTGGACAGTAAGGTAAGCCCTTACTTGACAATGAAATGATCTATTATGTTCACAGTGACTAACACCATCATTGTATGCTATTTTAGCAACATGTTAAGTGCTTTACACATATTAACTTGATCAATCCTCACAATAACCCTAATAAAGAGCTTTCATTTTGATCTCTCATAAATGGGGGAACTAAGAGGCACTTTGAGCTAAGTGACTAGTGATGATATTGGAGAGAGGATTTGGCTGGAGCATGAATATTCTTAACCTATGCATAACGCTACAGAGTTTAGATCTTTTCTCACAGGAAGCAGAGCCATATCTAGGTTTGCTTTATTTACCTTACTTATTCTCATCCCCACCCCACTTCTAGGTATTAAACAGATGATAATGGGTTGAAACGAAGCAAGTCTCACGATGGGGAGGCCACTTGAGAGACGAGCGCAGAGGTCTAAGTCTGTGGGTTTTTCTGCAGAGAGTATGTAAGTATTAACCTAACAGTTCTTGATTACTAACTGGCCACTGATTGCAAAAGAAAAGGAGAATAGAGAGATTTCCTTGGGAAGGATGTGTGAATGAGAGCGCCAGCCAACAATCTCTGATTCCAACAGAGAGAAGAGAGAAGCAGGTCACGATGTAAAGGGAAAGATGAGTAATGAGTGTGATCTCAGAAGTTCAATATACCTTATGGTTGACAGACACAGGAAGCAGAAACTGGTGTTTCATCTGATGCATTTGAATTACTATCAGGCTTTGCTCTTCCAGGTTTTCCTCTAGGCTTGACCCACACTACATCTCTCCATGTATCTCTACTATAATTACTTACATATATATCTACTATGTTAGTTCATGAACTCAAACTCAAGGTCAGAGACATACTCATTTTTAAAAAATTATAATTTATTTTTTTACCTGAATTTTTGTGCATTTCATATAAAACACTTAATCATCTTTATATCGCCCCCCCCAGCTGACCCCACCAGATTTCATGCATTCTGTCATCTATGTTAAGACCTATCAAGTAAAGTTAGTGTAACCAGAAGTCCCTCAGTGCAATTCATCCACTGGGGTCTAGTTAGCCTATCTAGAGTCTCTCCCTTAAATAAAATCAATTCTCCCTCACCCAGCAGTAATCAGCTACCAAGAGTTCTTCTGCTAAGATTGGAGCCTGCTGCCCATTTTTCCATTTCTATTTTGGGCTTTTGTCTGCTTGAGTTTGCTGGGGTCTTGTGCATGCTGACACCATTGCTGTAGGTTCATATGAGCAGGGTCCCAGGAGCCTGTAAGACTGCTTCCATATGGTCTTGCACTTCCTTCTGTGGCTCTTACAAACCTTCTACACCCTCTTCCGCAATGGCCCCGAGATCTGGGGGTAAAGCTCAAATAGGAGTCCTGTCCAGGGACTCACATTCTGCAGACTCTATTTTCTACACTTTGGCCATTTATGACCTTTTTTGTTCACTGCCCTCTGTAGCATGAGGGAGCTTTGTTGATGAGAGCTGAGAGTTGCATTAGTATTCTCTCTACCCCTAATTCCATCCACTATGTCCCATGAGCCTTAGATGTAGAGGTTCTATTGTAGATGTCTCACGTAGTAGGGTTGGGCATTTCACAGACATTTATTCTGTGTGTGACCAGTTGTGGAACTCTGTAATAGTCTCTGCTGCAAAAGAAGCTTCTTTGATAAGTGGTGACTGGCATATTTGTCTGTAAATATAATGATCCATAGTTATCATGTAGTAAGAAGTTACATTTCTCTAGGGATGTGACAGCCTTAAGGTTTTTCTCTAAGATCTATGACCTCTCCAGCCACATGTATTTGACTATGTTTACAGTACCACACATGAGTTTCCTCCCATTGAGTGGGCATTAAGTCCAATTAGGCAGCTATTGATTACCTCCAAGACAAAAGTACCACTACTGCCTCAATATAGTTTTCTGTACCAGTCACTGTTGTGGTTATTCAGCCTTAAAGCTTGGGTTGGACCACTGATTGATGTTCTCCCTTGTACAGTGTGCTCCAAAACTATGAGAGCCAGCCTTCAGGGAGGTGGCGTCCAGGTCAGTTCCAGCTTCACTGCTCCAAGCCCTGTGAAGGACATCCTTATTTTTATGTCTTGTGGAGATTATACTGGCTGGAACAAAGTTGATAATTTGACAAATGTTTACTAAATGAAGAAATGAAAGGATAAATAATGAACCAAAGGTACTTTAACTGGACTTTGCATGTTAATTTTCTAGAAAAGTCCTATTTTAGGAAACACCTATGCTTGTCTTTAGTAGGACCCTTTTCTGCTTATAATTAAACATGGTCCAGCTGCATTTACAGCTTGATCTTTATTTAGTGCTGTGAGAATTGAGTTAACAGGCCCAATGGCAATTAGTA